TAGAAATCGATTTAATATCCCGCGACACGTAAATGTAATAACAGCATAGAATAAAATGATGGCTAATTTTTTTATTTATTATTTTGTAGCTAACTGACATTTCGTTGAAAATGAAGCTCTAACGAGGACGTATTTTCGCATGATATGACAACCGAGGTAATATTCACTCATTTTTCAGTTCACAAAGCGTACCAGCTATTTTCGAGCTTTGCTTATTTGCAGAAAATTGTAGGAGAGTGGAGCTGAACTGTGAAAACACGATTCGGTATAAGGATCGACCAGAATAGAAACCCTAGATGGAATATTTCCATGGAGAACAGGATATCGAGTCGAAGACTTTTTTAAATTCGATCTAACATTAAATTGGATTTAAATTTTTAATTTAAATTCAAAATTTTATTTTAAATTTTTAACGAGATAACTATGAATGTTCATTTGACGAATCTAAAAAGTATACCCGACTCTAACACAGACGAAACTTTTTGATGTTCGAAAGTAAATAGATTCAATTAACTTTACAATGGAACAAAGAGCGAGTTCGTATTTGAGGCAACGTGCAAATCATACTATTTTCAACGTTTCGAAAGTAAACGAGGGAAAAAGCGGTAATAAAAAAAGAAAAAGAAGATAGCAGAAAGAGTAACTTTCGCAGACTTTTCGATCCTTCTTTCGAACAAAAGATATTACGTACGGGTAGATGGTATCGTCTCGTATAACATAACTAAATTTACCTGCAGTCACGCGAGAGAGATTTTATATTCGCGAAGTTGTTGCCGGACGCTAAAACCGTGCGCCTCGTGGCAGGTGTTGCGAGGAAGAGATTGAACGGAATTAATTGCGCGGCTTTTTGTTTCGGTGAAAATATAGTATAATAATACCGGTGATAAAGCTTCGCATTATCGTGGTCATTCCCACGAATTTACATGTTTCAACCCCTTACACTTTTTAATTAAACCACCATATGGTTGGCGCGTCGTAATAAAGCTACTTTTCATTTTTAATGTTCTCATTGGTTAGTAATCATTCTATTTGCTTTGGTTCTGAGTTTCATCGTGATAAGGAACAATGAATTACAAAGAAATTAAACCTTAAAGTATTAAAGGAAAATATATTATAGTTCGCATGTACCATTTTTGAAATGGTCACGTAGAAGAATTCTTTCTATCGTGGATATAGATAGCTTTAATCAATTCTATATTTTTTTTTTGCCTTTTAATTATTATTAATACGACACATCTAGTATACTTATTGTCAGACACACGTGCATAAAACACATCAAAACGAATGGTTATTTTTTATTCATACGAACGAACAATGTGATCCAGGTACAACTGTTTGTTAAAATCAGCTAAAAGCAAGAAACCGATTCAGCCTATCACTATCGCTACCGTACAATCGTCAATGGCGTTAAGTGAGAGTTGTAAACGATACGAGTACAAAATTATTATCTATCATAACGATTATAGAATCGTAACTTTTGCTATCTTCATAAACTGTAACCATCTATTTCTATAGCTTAACTTAAAGTAGAATAAACGATACGCATAAACCCGGAAACCTGGAGCTGTTAATAAATTATTGTATATTTTCAGCTTGATTCCTGTTTTAGCTCTAATTTCTTCTGAAATATTCAAACAATGTAAAATATTTGTTACTACCTATCTGCAAACAAGAAACACCAAAAGGAATTCTTTAAGAGACAAATTAGATCATTAAAAAGGAATCAAATTTTATACTTCATAGTTTTGCTGAGAAAATTTATTCTTTCTCAAAAAAATTGTCCAGATTTCAGGATTTAATGTAATATAAAGATGCAGGTACTAGACACTATGCGTAAGAAGCAACCTCCAGATCGATGATTTTTCGCATCAACCAGTGAATTTCGTCATTTCATGCACCAAATCGACAATTCTCCACGGTAAATGCGGCGCTCCTTTTTCTTCTTTTTCTTCTTTCATAGTAAATGCAATTCCAGTTGAGTAACTTGCGTTTCCTGGGCATCGAGACGCTAATGGCAGATTGCGAGTGATATTTGTCCTTGATTCTATTACCGTTATTATCTCAAATTATGACAATCAACCGCGAACAGTCTCAAGAGTTCCTTTGCAACTTCATATGAATACGGAATGAGTCGGATATACCGGCGAGAATACCGTCACAATATAAAAATAATTCTTCTTTCTTTTTTCCAGCGTTTAAAAAGATTTGCAAGGTAGACAACGAATGCGAGCAAAATTCGTCAAGTTACATTCGTAAATGAAAACCTGTCGCGATCAAACATCGATTTTGAAATGACCCTACGCCTTGGAAACTTAAAGGTATCCCTTATCTTTCTCTTTGTACGAAAACAAAACGATTAATGCTAATACATAGTTGTTACTCCAATAATACTTGACGCTTTTAATACGTCTTTCTCATTTCGATAAGCTTTATAAAAACATTATTTGGTATAAGCAACATCCAATCGATCAACCAACATTTAATGAAACGAAATCGCATTTACAGCTCGATTTAAACAAGCCGTCATATTCGTACAATATTCTTTCCACGATCAACCAGTCTCTACGAGTCGAACACAATTCACGGAATCATCGTCGATGGTCACACAAATCTATTGGTATATACGGAACAAGAACGTTCGACGAATCTTCGACACGGCGTTGAACGACGCCACGCGTTCCGACGCCACACGTTCCGACGCCATCTTGAGAAACCTCTTAAGACGAAGATGTTCGATTAAAATCCTAACAACTAGAAGTCCGTTAGTTGATTAGTCTATAACTGTTTTGCTTAAGATCCTTAAAACGGTACTGCAACTGGTTATCATGCCATTTACATGTTGCACAGAGATACAGACACGGACACAGACACGCATTTAAATATTATGTTCCTCCACGGATGCACAGCGATTAAGATATACACAGCTCGAATTGTACAGAGTGTCCTATAGCCTCTTAAATACTTAAAACTCCTTTCCGACGATAATGTACACGTGTATAGCCTCCGATTAAGAATTCTCTTTCGTCCTATTCGTTTCTTTCGTTTTATATTGCCTTCCTGACATTTCCACGTCCTCTTTAAATCTTTGCCGAACAACCACGGAACAACGTCGCTTTTTACTCCGTGTCGCGCTCGTACACTCCTCTTTATTTAAAATATATCATGCACAGATGTACAGACGTAGATACTCTAGTTTGAGAAATATAGCGCGGTCGTGAATTTAACACTCGACAACGACATACCTGACACATCGACACCGTGTAGGCGATGCTTTGTGTGCTTCGATAGAAAGCGACGTTGAGGAACGCGAGACGTCAGTGAACTGAAAGGGGATGATTTTGCGTGAGAAGATAAGTCGGAAACGAGACATTTTCTATGCAATGAAATTCCTTTCTTCGAGACCGTTTATACCTAAAGTTACACGGTAACGATTATCGTTTGGCGTAACAACTTGGCCAGATTTACTCAGACATCCGAAACGCGGTTCCTTCAACCTCCGAGCTTGACGGCTGAGTTTACGAGCGCGCTATATTTCTTCCAGCGAGTATAGAAACACGCGAAGGTCTGCGGGATACGCAGTGTTTCGAGCGTCTCGCATGATCACGCGATCACCACCTTCGATCGAGGATCGTAGCCACGTTTAATCGGGGCGCGCGTGAATCTCTGTGCCTCGACTATCGTCTGGCGAACACGTCGATTCGCCAATAATTTTATCACCGTCGTTACCACGAGCTTTGCGTGGCCCGAGTCGCAACAAGGAATCGATATTGTCACTTCAGTAACGCGTTCACGGTGTTCTGTGCGCAGAGTCGCTCGTAACAGATGTTAATAGGTCGAGAAGATGAGGGTGACGATTCTGCATGGGAAACTGAACGGAGACATGAATAGAATACGCGAAGAATGGTATATAACGATATATTTTGGACGAAGAGCATGGACATAGAATAGAATTAAGTCGTAGAATGTATTAATGGCGACTTGGACAATGGAAGGGTGGTTTCTATTACAGAAGAACTTTTTGGTACTTAGAACTGGTCGGAATATTGTCGAGTAACAGCAGGAACTGTATTTTTAAACATCTTTCTTCCGAAAACTCACGTTTCATGCTTTAAGTATAAAGATACACGTGTTCTCTGACCATGAAAGATCCACTTGCATAACGAGAAAGTTTCTTTCGTAGTTTCCATTTATTTCTCCATGCAGATCGATCGTCACGTTCTCACCTGTTATGGGAAACTCTGTAAACGTCAAGTATCAAACGTAACGTGTATATAAAAATGTATAGAAGAGTGTACTATATCACGATTTCTCATAGATCAAATCTATCGTATAATATATCTGGCTTAATTATGCGAACGTTTGTTTCTTAGACTAGATAAAACGTGTTTAAAAGGGGAGAATCCTTGGTAATTAATTCATTTTTCTTTTGAGAAAATTTCGAATGACTCGCTTCGTTCTTCCCTTCGTTCTTCGAGAAAACAAATTCTACGAACTTCCTCGCGACTTGAATCGTTTAAACAATAATCGACCATAAAAGTTAGAGTAGAAAATAAAATAATGTATTATAAGTGTAAACGCGAACTCGCGATCATAAGATTATCGATAGAACTATCAAAAAATTTTTTCTAAAAGTAGACAGAACGTCATTAAGAATCACTTGCACGATATCGATCGAATGCAGAAAGTAGAGTACCACGTACTATTGAACGTTCCGCGTTCACGATGTTTCGAACTTTTCCATACGAAGATTTCACACTCTAGACTACATAACGTTAAATATTTTCTTCTTTCTTTGTTATCCACTGTTTGTTAACGTTCGTGAACGTGATATCGAAAAAATTACGGTCAAATATAAAAAATTCCCTTTTCTTTTATCTACGCTACCCTTTTCGTCTTAATCGAATACGTAATTCGAACTCTGATGAAAAATATATACATGCTTCTTCTTGATACAACCAAAAGAAGTCTGCCCTTTTTACCAACATCTTCGTGCCAGCAATAAGGAGCCATCCTCTACAGCTACAATTAAAAAACGCTTCCGGCATGTTTTTTTTTCTTTTTTCTCTCTTCAATTAGAATCTTACGATCTCAAAGAGTTACAAAAATAGTCTCGTATTTGTCTACCGTACTACGTGTTCTTTTTTCTTCCTCTGTTTTTTCATTTTTTCTTTTTTTCTTTTTTTTAGATGTATCACATACGCTGTAAAGTATACGTCGACGTTTGCCCGTTGAAAGAAGCGGAAACCGATTAAAAAGAGGAAACGAGAAAGGAATAAGATGGATTAAATGACAATAGCGAATCCTTCATTGCGATTGCGATGACGAGAGATTAATACAAACCTGGCTAAATCTACCTCATCAGATCTTTCCCCTTACACTCTCTCATTCTTCCTCTCTTAGCTTCAATCGTACGCAAAATTCATCGATCACGGGAGATCCATTGATTCGGATTTGTGCATTTCTTCGACAACGATACACGTAATTTATAACTAACAGATCCGAACGAGTTTGCACGATAATAATACTGATTTGCTCATTTTCAAACGGGAATCGCTTGCAGAGATCGGCAACCAGACATCCGGAGTACCTTGAATTTGCGCCGATAATCGCACGCTGACATCTATCTTTCGCATCGAATTCACTCGATCCTTGCGATCCTCCGTCGAGATCTTTTTCGTTTTACTCCTCGACCCGCGCGAACGAGTATTCGCATTCGACGGAAATAGTTCTTTCAAGGTACCATCTGTCTTGCCATACGATCGGAGTACCTCGTATGAAAATTTCTCGTTTAATCGTGCGATCAGAGAAAAGAAGATATCGAGTAGAATTTCACCGCCGTCACGAGCGAGATCTAAGTCGATAAATTCACGATTCGAACGAATCGCTCTGGGTTTAAGATTGAAGGCGCTGTGCGATCGAGCGCCGCGAAATGTTTCTTTCTGGAATATTAGAAGCGTCTCTTTCTTGCGAGAACTTACCCTCCTCCTCTGCGTGTTAAGTGGCGTTTCGTGGGTTCATTACGGTGGAAAGAAGTGTCACGTACTCGTCGAAATCACCGTGGATCGCGCGTACGTACGTGTTTCACCGTTTTTTCCGTTCACATGGTGTACTGAGACAACAGAATTCGGGGAGTCGTCAGGTTGCTCGGTGGCTCGGGTCAAGTGGTGCACCAGGCCAGAATCACTTTCTTGAAGGGGACGAAAATCGCACGATCGGGGTCACTGGAACACAATATGACCAAAAAATAGCTTTTATTTCTCTGGATATCAGTATTTTCGTATTTTTTACGATTTATGAAAATTTCTTAATTTTTCCTTTTTTTTTCTTTCAATATTTCATATCCCGATCTGTACTGTATATTTAGATATATTATACAAACCTAAATAGATAAATATAATTACATTTAATACTGGATGTATCGATTTGCATTACAGCTAGATGTAAATTGTAAATTAAAATCTTGTAATGAAAGTAAAGATACATATATAAAATCACGTTCCTATCGAATTAATTTTGTCAAAAATAGCTCTATGTCCAGTTATAAAAATGAAATATCCGAAACGAGTCATTTCAATAAATAAATTAATTCATTCATTTTATTATTCTCATATTATTTATCCTCTCCATGTTATCGAATGAAAGTAATGAAGAACGAGGGAACAGAAATAAGAAATAAAAAATGACAGCACGTATGAATAGAGAAATGGATCCTTCAATTTTATGAAATTTAAATTAAAACATTGGACAAGTGTTCGCTGCTTATATAACAAAAACATGTAAGTTCCACGTAGACGAATATTTCTCGAGAGCAATAATCATGAGTTACTTCGAACTTACTTTACAACCGAAAGAAACGTGCTTCCGTCAAATGCACGAATGAGAGAAGCTAACCGCGAGAAACTGCAGCACGTCGAAGACGGTGCATTATCGCGAGGCGTAACAACGGTTACGAGGGCAAGAGGGAGTAAAAGAACTAACGACCGGTTAAAGATCAATGTTGCACGGTTCTCGCAGCGTGGTTCGCCTTTCTCAGAAGAATCGAAAGAAAACGGTTCGTAACACGTGCATTGTAACAGGGACCGGTTGCATGAGCCAATAAGTCATTTGCATTTTCCTTGTACTTCAGCTTTAAGAGCGTGCACTTGAATTTTTACCGCTCTATAAATTTAAAGAAACAAGAGAGAGTCACGCAATTGAAATAAGTAAAAAGTACATAAAACACGACCTTCTCCATTTTCCACGGCTAAGAATAACAAGGAAATCGCTCGATATCTGTTCGAATCCCCGTCGCAGATCCCGCGAAATTCCTATGAATGTCGCCATTATGGGAGCTGACGCGATCGAATATAGAGGAAAATTTATTCCGTTATTTTGTCGTACGGACGAGTAACGTATAAAGCGTGGAGAAACTCGTAACGCTAAATTTCCAAGAACCTGAAATCCCCGTAAAATCGACCGAGTCTTATCAAGGGCCAGGTACGAGAGGAATTTCCCTTCGGCCGCGTTTCCACGGTTCGAGTTACTCGGAGAGACTCGAAGTAACGCATATGTAGTACGTTCTCGAGATCAAAATCAGAGGAGGTGCACTTTCAGGGACGACGATCGTCACGCGAACATCTCGAGCCAAACTTGTAGCGATTTTCCAAGGCTCTCCGCAGACGAACGTTTCTCACGATAAAGTGTGTGACAGACATGGCTATCGACCAGTCGCGTAAAGCCAGCCACGCTTCCATCCAATGCTCTCTGTTAGTTTTTGGCTCGCCATCTTCGGGTTACGCTTTGTCATCGGTTCCCTCACTGTTAGACTGCTACTAGCTGAAGAGATACTTTTGCTACCTATGCCAGATATGAGCTGCTATCGAACTAGCCTGTCTACAGCGAAACACTGTGCTCGCTTTGAATCAGGGTGTGTCTGCTCTGCAGCTGCATCAAAGTTCTTTGAATCATTGACGAAAAAAGGGAACATGAATATTCTAAATGTTGCAACCAAGCTGTGTGTCAAATCACGAGCTCTATTTCTAACATTATATGTTTGATAGACTTGGTTTTGATTGGTTTGGCTATGATTGATTTTAATCGTGTTGCTTTTTAAGTTAGTTTGATATGAGATACAGGAACTAGATAAAGTATATGATAATTTCTAAATTAATTTCAACTTTGTCTCGGAGATTCCGAAGCGTGGTTCTTTAATCATAATAAATAATATTTTTAAGAAAATATACCGAGCTTCAAACGGTAACAAAGATGACGTGATATCTTATGAAAAATGGCGATAAAAATGTGCCAGTACGATTTTCACTTCTCTGTTAATAGCAAAATAATTTAATCCGTCAAATGGCATTCAAAGGAGGAAAATTGCATAATGTACGAAGTATAGTCAGACGTAAAACAGAATACATAATATACTTTTTATGGTGATGTTACATTGTAATGAAACGAAAATATTACTCGACGTTCTTTAACACTTCGCTGAAAGCATGGTACTACGCAAAAACATAGTTACGAGAATAGCTTGGTATACCCGTGAGGCTAATTATTTCCTAATCTTCTATGCGAAATTCCGCGGACTCTTATCGCGATTAAATACGTTTAATGACTGATTTTACATTAATTTCGCATTATAGTAAAAATTAGGTCATCCAGCTTTGCATCGTAATTATTAATCAATCGGTAACAGTCTACCAGCCAGTTTCATGTTTTTGTAAAGCGATATCGCTCGTAATGGATGGAAAAATAATCCATCTATGAGAACATATAAAAATATCGATCGACGTTATGTATAAAATAGTAGCCACTCTTTTTTTATTTTCAGAATAAGGATAAACATAAACCTTCGTTGTATGATACACGAGGCAAGTCAACTAAAATCTTAGATTTCAATGCTTTCCTATTTTGTCGTATGACATTTTTATTCTCCATCTGTCCCGCGTCATCAAACGCAGGTTCACCAAAAATAATTTGAGACGAACCTTTGCAAAATTAACCAAAAGATGAACGTAGAAAATTTATTTTAAAATATGCTTCGAATAAAATGTTAACGTAATTAAACATTGCTCCAAATTAGGTATACGTGATACTATTCTACGTTTCACGGTTATTTCTCGATTCCATTTTATGTGTCACTACGCCAGGACTGTCAGAGAAGAATCGCACGAATTCCAATCTTTATAGACATTACTTCGAAATACCAACTTTAATATCAAATTATTATTCTACACACCATAACCATTTTATTTAAAATTCCTCGAAATTACTTCAGCCCTCGAATTCATTTCAAATTTCTGTCAATTATCGATATTCGTGCTTTTGTCGTATAAAACGCGGTAATTTCGATTCCGTTAACAATATCTACTATTAATTTTCTTTGTATTCCGAAGAATATAAAAAGATTTTTACACGAAATTAATCCCTCGGAATAATCCTATTACGATACGAAAATACCACTCTATATTTAATCACCATTTTGTCTCGATCCGATCGATATCGCTTGAAACGCACCATGGAGGGCTAGCTGCGTAAAAATAGCATAACATTTTCGCTAGCTGTTTCTAGTTTAAATATACAGTGGATCGTCGATACAGAACCACATATGCCATTGAATATAAACTCAAGCTGCAACGTGCAGGTCGAATCTCGACGATCTACGGCTACGACACGACCAAGTCTGCATTACTTATGCATTGTGTTGTCGATGGGCGAAACACTTGGAACAAAAGTGCCATTGCATCGGGACATCGATTCACGTGTTCACCGACAAGGCGTAAGCCATTTTCGATTCGAAGACACGAGAGTAACGATTACCGCCAAACAGCGGCCGATAAATTCTTCGGATTTCCAATTCTAACGCGTTAAACGCTCTGCCGGTCTCTGAAGAACGACACTGATCTTTTGGTTTAGCACATTCATTGCTAAACGTGTTTTGACAGACTTTTCGTGCACGCCGATGATGGATCGAATCATTTTTAAATTATCAGAAATGCCGAACGAGACGTTGAACTAAATTATATTATTGATAATATACAAAAATATGATGTGTACATATTTATTTGACAATCGTGTACCGTCGATTGATTGTCGATGATCGATAATGCTGAAATGTAAGAATCAATGATAGTGACTAGCGAGCGCCATTAAGGTGAACGTGTTTAGTGGTCCCTAGTTCCCTAGGGCCCTCGGTAAATTCATGAAAACAGTACTTTATAATCAGAACGATATTAACAAATATATTTCTACTCTTTTAATGAATTGTATCGAAATTAAAACAAAAATGAGCTTTTGTTTTAAGAGTTTTGTAAAAAGTATTGGCCATTCTTCTACGCGTTGTTTTTTATTTACATATTTCTCTTACCACTTGGATTTCTGGTTACTTGAATGAAAAGTAAAATAAAATTAGTTTCGTGTGTAGCATTGCAGACGGTAACCATGTGAACTTTAATTGTACAGAACTTGTACGACTTCTTCGGGAAGTTGAACGCAGACTAGAAGTCTATTTTTGATAGTATAAGTTACTGCTAGTAACTTACTAGTATGAAATTGAGGCATTTCCGAGTATACGGATTACACACGTGCAATTAATTATACTACCGTCATGTTTTCTACGGCGAAGATCATAAATTGTACGTGGAGTTAAACTAAGTTTGTCACGAGACTTAATCAAATGTTGTAGAACGTTGTAGTAGTTCCTCTAACAAATCGGACGTTTCTCGAGATACGATTTCTGATTATATGACTATCCTTTCAATGAAAGTACGAAGGATATCCGAGCATATTCGACTTCGACACCTGTCAATAAATTACGAATGATTGCATGTACACACCTGGTCGTAAGTATTAGAACAGCTGTTGGTTTCACACGAGAACGTGATAACTGATCTAGGTTATTAGAGAAACCACGAATTGGACAAAAGTTTAGATTTATACGATCCAGAATATACGAAATTGAACATATGGGTTCTTGCCAGTCGAAGGCTCCGAATGACATAATAATCCTTAAAGTTTCGGTATTTAGCAATCAGCAGACACATGTCTATAACAGTATGTCATACTATTTTTGAAGAAGCTAATTGAAATACTAGTGAAAATTGCACGCGGAAACTTTAAATTGCAACACGGTCTTAACAATTCCCTAGTAACCTTTTCACACTAGGATTAGTAATCAATTGAAGCAATACGAGAATAAACAGGTATACGTAATCACCTTTCTATCTAAATAAAAGTAATTAATTAATTACATGTTTTCAAGAATCGCAAATATAAAATGTCCGACATCGTTTCGTAATTTCTGCTTTAAATTTACTTAATCATTCCGAATGTACTCTTATCTACAATCAGCAGCGTAAATTAACCCAAATATCTTCATCTATCGCGTCACTCCACTCGACACGATTTCAACGCTGTAACGTGTACGAAATTATATATACCGCTTAAATTCATCGACCACCACGAAGACTGAACGAAACGAGATATTCCATCGGCGAGAAAAATGGCATTGCACAGTTCTAACATACTTGGGGGAACAAGTAAAGCCTTCTTTCACCTCTAACAAAAGGATATTTTCTAAAAATGCTAAGCAGCCTCGCGGCACAGCCTCTGCTCGTTGTCCAACGGAAGTGAGCGAATTACCGTTTCTTTTACGCCGAGGAACAATAGTTGTTGAAGTGTGGCACAGAGTTATCGAGCGGTGTTCGTAAGGCAAGCTTTGCATTCTTCTACGAGAACAAGAAGCGTATGTTCACATTTACGCCGGTGCACGTGAATACTCGTGCAGGTGCATACACGAACTCGCATGAACGAGAGAAACTTACGCGAAAGAGAGAGAGGGTGCATCACAAACAGAATTGCTTTTGTCACGCATCTTGTTCCACGTTCGGCCTATTATCTCGAAAACACGATGCAATTACGAAATTAAATACGTCGCCGTCCGATTCGGAAAAGGCTGCTGCCGCTGCCTGTGGCGTCGATTTAATTAAGAACTCGCCAAAGAAGTCGTGACACGCCGTTTGGTTTCGGCCACTTCGCTGAAAGGGAGGAGCCATTGCCAAGGCGGCAGGGCCAGGCCTCGTAAACACCGATAAACGAGTGCATCACGAAAGCTCGTGCGCAGCAAAATGATCACTATTATCCCGTAACTGCAGAAATTCGAGCAATCTACTCAACCATCAAATACACCTTGTTCATACGCTACTGAAGTTCGATGCTATTTCGCGAAGTAGCGCCTTCAGGAGTACTTACGATTGTTATCTTTTGCGTTAGTTGGCCAGATGTTAGTTAAGATGCTTTTTCGTATCGCTGATAGTACGATTGGTAGCGATTAGAAACGAGATTTGGATCTTCTTAAAACCGATATTAGGTGTATCTCGCAACTTTGGTTAAGAAGTGATGCTACTCGAGAACAACGATATGAGAATGTTGAGGTAGAAGCGTTCCTCGATTGATTATGGAAATCTCATTCATTTACCTTCGTAGTTACGACATGAAAGGGTAATTACCTCTTTTTATTTCGTGTCTGTGGGGAAATTTCGTCGCTAGTGTCACTTTATTTCCATAATTCGCGACATCCACGTCACGTTTCCTAAGAGTTTCATTAACGCTATTTTCACTGCAGTTACAATGCAGAATCGCGACTGTGGTATTGTGTTAATGGGAACTGCTAACTGCGAAAACGCGACCAACGTTCGCTCGATAAAAGGCCTCGTTATTGTTTCGGTGAAGTAACGGAGCTCGTTTCAGAGAAATCTCTGACTTCACGCATGAAACAGCCTTATTTATAACGATAAAATCGTCGATTTCGTGGAAACATTAGGTGAACGGAAAGAAAGTATTGACGAAATTTGTAAGAATTTCGTAATAACAGTATGAAACAATAATTTACAATACTTGTGAGAAAATAAATTATAAGCAGGACTTACCAGTCGAAGAATCTTCTGCCATGAAAAGTGCCATCGGAAACCACGCCTACGTGCGTCTCCTCACGACCTGGTACAGGTCCCACGTATCTCACTCGTCCTTGAAGAACTTTACCCTCCGGCGATATTACCTTCACGAGATGATCCAGCTTTAGATCCCTCGGTATCTGTCAAAATAAAGATCGTCCACCGTAAAGCATCGCTCATAAGAACTGCGAGTTTCATTTAAACAATCATCAATTTCAGCAAATTGCAAATTGATAATCCATTAGTCGATTCGCGATAAAAAGGGGAAACTTTCGAAGATAGGAATACTCGTTCATTTATTTCTCGAGTAACCTAGTCCAACCTCCATTATTCCATCATGCAGAGTTTCAATTATCAAAGTCCCTCGAAGAGATTCGAAACATCGACGTATAGCGTAATTGAAAATTCTCGATACAGAATATAATTTAAATTTGTGTCAGATAAGGAGACATTTGAGTATTGCCGATGGCTTCAAAGAACGCGAGAAACTATGGAACCTCAAGGGATAATTATATTTCCATATTATATCAATGAGTATCAATTTCAATTTTGATCATTCGGAATAAGCATATTGCGACGCTGCAGTCTGGCCAATTACCAGTGAAGGCAAAGAGACGCCGGTGAAATTTACCTTTGGCAGGTATGGTCTAGCATCCTGCGGTGGATGCCAGTCACGGATTAGATCTGGCTCTGAGTATCGTCGTGTACGTCTCCGCCTGACCGTTTGTCGATTCCAATAATCAGAACTGACGCCGCTACTAGAGATAGTCAACATGGAGTCGATGCTTCGTCGTAAATAATCCTCTGCCTCGTCGATTAACGATTCGGTCGAATCACCACTATTATCGCCGGTCACCAAATCCGAGCGTAAGTTTGGCAAGCTGCCTCGTGTCATCGGGCATTCTGTAAACAAACAGGAATTTACAGCAGTCCTGACCAGCTCTGTTTAACTATTCTCTAGATCACTTGGTAGAAAACTTCCAATTTATTCGCGGACTATATATCGGATAAAACGATTTTTTAGTTTCGGACAAGTTGGAGTGTAACGAGAAAAAAGAATGGAAATAATGGATTCTTGAATAAATGGGTCATTATGCTTGTGACTTATATTCGTGGTTTGAAATGATTAATAATTACATTGATAGTCCTCGTTATGTAATTTTCTGGTCTCTCGTGTTGACCTTTCCAGAAGTAATCTTAACTTCATGACACCATCGCTAGAATTGGCGATCATGCAAATATTGTCCTGGATAAGTTAGACTTCTTTTCTGGTTCTGCTGATACCTTCAGATATAATTTATTCGTAAGTTGTACCTTTGACGTTAACTACGATCAAACACAGGTTCAAGTTCTATCACGCAGACCTCTTTTCTCACGATTCTTCGCTGTCTAATATTTGGTATCTTTTCCTATTCAATTATTATGTCTACTTTAAATGGAAGAGAATTTTCGAGTTCTGATTATGTTAATAAAACAATTGCAAAATTAAAATTTCACGTATCGCAAGAAGAAGTCACGGTTGTATTTACAGTTCGTGAAAATGTTTCACAATGAACCACGATCGCCACGAAGAAACCGGAAGATAGGCATTTTCAGCTTGAGTGGATGAAAAAGATCTGTGTTGAAAATTTGGATCCGTGATTGGTTAGAAATTAGAATATTTGAATAAACATTTTTCATACACCGCCGAATTTCGCAAGAACAACAGATCGAGAAAATAGGTACGAAATATTAAAGCAATATTAAAAAACGTAATTCAGATTAGTTACGATCAAGTTACTCATCCATATCCTATAACGTTCTGTGGAAACTCGACCTGCGATACAGCAGCATCCAATGCAAGGTTACTGCACGTGACAGGTTAATTTAAAGTTACTAGACCTGGGATTCAATTAACCGTAACCAGAACTGCATGCCTATTTGTAACAATTTATCTTGATAAAAATTTCCAAGCTTCGCTTAAATCAAAACCTTAAATAAACACATTTTCGGTCTTCTGTTCCTTCTTCATCCAATTACTTCCTTTCTCCATGTATATACACTATATTATTAACACTAAACCTTCCACGCTCTAAATGACCAATGTTAAACTTCTCATTAAAAATTCCACATTCAACGTTATCTCTTTGGTTGCTCGACTGTACAACTTCTCTTCCGAATTTTGCAATATCTTCTTCAAGTTCTTCTCCTTTCATTTTTTCATTCATCGGTTATTTAGTCATGATAAATTCAATCGATCACAGCTTCGTCGTGCGATAATATTTACGAAAAATCAATTCGCTATTAATACGATGAGAAAACATACCTTGAAAGGTGACCTTCGAGCGCGTTCTTTTCGGAACATTCTTGGAAGTTTTCGAAGTCGTGGCTGGAGGATGCACGTGGGTAGGCGAAGAAGGCATAGAGGACCAGGTTGGTCTCGGTGTAGAAGTGGCCACAGGAACCCTCCAGGTGTCGAAGGATGCCGCAGTTGCTCTCCATGAATGTCTTCGTGATGGACCTCCGACAACCTCCAAACCGGGCGAGGGGATCGAAGATAAGGATCCACGATATCGAGAGGAATAGAGATCCGTGGAGAGACGACAGTCGCAGGGGCTCGAAAGTCCTGTGCCGGGGTTACAACGAGGCCAAAATCCTGCCGGAGAACCCAGCGATTCACGTCGATGTACATCCGGTGTACGGAGACTGCAACCACGAGAACTAAAACAAGTCTGAACAGAAAAACAATATGAAAAGCTGAGATCATTGAGGAACAAATTAAGATGGTGAATTAATGAGAATGGTCAAGAGGAGATTGAAAAATTGAAATGCAGTTGTGTGGGATACGTTAATTTTTTAAACGATTCCTAGAATTGTCGAATTATTGCATTTTACAATCTTTTGATGTATGTTTGGTATAGTTTCAAAAAACTCGATCATTGATAACACTTGCGTTTGAACATGTTTAAAAGTGATATTATCGAAAACTTTACGAAATGGAAATGATAGAAAAATTCTAGAGGAAGAGATAAAAAATCGATTTACATTTTAAAGCGATGTCTGAAATCACAGCTTCCTATTGGAACAAGGAGAACGATAATTGTACCACACGTATTACTGGAATCGATCCCACGTATTTGCCAATGCAATAAATATTCAGTACCGGTAGTCTCACAAAGAAAAACGAGATGAAGGCAACAATTAGTCATCCGCTTTGACGAAGAGACTGAATTGCAACTAACATCAAAGCGAATCGCATTAGCTTCAATCGTTTGACCTTCTTTCATGCATAACGACAAATATTTCTATCTGTGCACATAGGTGCAGTTTGCTATAGTTATGCACTTTAGTTTTAGTTACTTTTTATTTTAACTAATTCTCTATCCAGAAATTTTTAGTAAAAATGTCTGGCTTCGAGATTATTTAGCTTCTCCTTTATTATTTGGGTGCCCATAGGCAACCTCGAAGAATTAAGCTCATGATCCGTGCAGAATAGAATATACCTCTCCTCGAAGCGACGAATTTACTGTACCTTCAAAATCACGAGTCACCAAGTTTGCTTCCTCTGCGAATAAAATACTAAGCCTTTTTTCTAAAAACTATGAAGATTCCGATCCCAATTCGAAGCCTACCTGTGCGTGTGGATCCTGACAGAGATGGTCAGCGCTTCTAGACAATTCCGGTACCATACTGGTGAAGCTGATGTCCGACAGCATTACTCTTCTAGCTTCTTGGGTTTTGTCGGACAATCGAAGTCTTCCAGGCACTCCGGTTGGCAGAGCAAATTTGCTGGGTAACGTGGTAAACGTATGAGCCACTTTGTGCGCAAGATAACTCTCGGAACGCCAATGGGCTGGAAGCGCAGAAATGTCTGTTTGGGCACCAGATTCTCGTCGTGCTCCACTGATTCTGTCCATCACTGGTCTCAGTGGCGCAGCACTCTTTCGTCGACTACCCGCTAGTGCTTCACGATGGATGATTGGTCTAAGAGAAGGATAGTTACGTATTTTTAACACATGCTTCGGGTTTTAACTAATTTTTAATTAATTTTTTACTCATTATCCAACTGATATTAATTATTAAACTAGCAATCAAATAACAATGGAATAAAAAATGTAGAATTTGTATCAAAAAACAAAGGAGATAGGAAGTATAATATAGACAACGAAGGGGCGTATACTTTTAATAACTAACGACGTAATTAAATTTCATATGTGACCACACGTGAACGCTAATGAACAGGAAACATGATTAAAGTGTTGTTTCATTTATGCATACGTGCCAGCTGTTACAAAGCTTCGCATGTGGCAAATTGCAGTATGCAAAAAAAAAGGTCGGAAATAAGTGAAAACGTTTTATAGCTGTTAAGTAGCGAGCAGCTAATTAAAGCACTTTCAACGAATACGTGCATACATATATTGGCGTGAGAGTCTTTCATCAAGTACAGACTGGAGAGCCCTACAAGATGCAAAACTCTGTACACCCATTCAACTGGACTATGCATCTTTTCTCCCTCTTGTTTCTTCAATCTAACGTAAAATAATATCTATAATGTCTAATAAATTTCAATTTTTTCATTTCACTATTATAAAAGACATTTGTTTTATATAAAAATATTTAGAATTTTAATCACCGATACTATCGCTTACACGAATTCTGTGTTTCGATAGAAACTTTGAATTCAAGGTTCGAAAAAGAAAATCGATGTAGCATCGTGCGATACTAAAACACGGAAAAGAGAAAAAAGAAAAAGAAAAGAAGAAAAACTACCCATTACCTGTAGGCGGTGGGTGGCGCAGCTAAAGTGTTCCTTCTGACCGCGTGTCTAGTAGCATGCTCGGGCTCTTCGACGACGCCGCACTTGCTGATGTCTGTCTCGACCAACACCGAGCACTGCGACCAAATTCTGTTCAATCTGGTACTAGAACTCTCGTCGAACCTGTCCACGCTTTCCTCGCGATCGATGCTCGAGCTCTGCGAGGAAACTGCCTCCTCGACAGAGCTGGTCTTCTCGCCGTTGCAGACCAGCGATTCACCCTCGGTAGACTTGGTGTATTTCAACAGCACCGGTTGACTAGTGGGTGCAGACTGCTGCCAGGACTCGGTTTCAGTTATAGAGACGAGATCTTCTTGAAGACCGAGATCGCGACAAGTTTCATCCGTCGTGAATATTAACTCGATATCGTCGAGCTCTTCAGACTCGTTCTCAGATTGATCATTCTGCTTCGGTTGGTCCGTCGACTGGCTCTGACGTTGATGTTGTTGCGACACTTGCGTGTCCGGATTGTCGCTGAACACTGAATTGTCCCCGTCAGAAACGGATTTCAGGCTTAGATCCTCTAAATCCTTCTCCGGCATCTCCAGACGATCAGCCTGACCCTCGATCGCGTCCTCTTCTTCGACGTCTTTCGACTGCCTGTTTGCCGAGGGAAAAACTACCTCGTTGGACGTCCCACGTTTCACCGTGTCGTCTAAACCGACTGCAGCCTGAGATTTCATAGCCGTCGTATCTTTCAACACAGCGAATTTCAACTTTTGATCCTTGGATTCCGATTTGGATGACGATCCTGCATGGCTCTTAGGCACTTTATCGATCGCATGAGTCTGCGAATTGGAATTATCATCGTTACCGGCGTTGCTGTCGCTACGTGGCCCGATGATCGGCTTCGATGCCTCTGCCACGTCTTCCCTGTCGACTTTGTCCTTGGACGCGTCCATGAGTACGCCTGCTTGCTCTGACAAACTGATACCGTTTACAGGGTGAGAATGACAGCGAGAAATCAACCGCGTATGCACGCTACACGTGGTTATTAATAGGTGCATCGAGAACGGAACGCGTTCCTTTTAATTAACGCTAACCCCACAAAGCCTCTCCGTTTAGCGATCCACGTTACTAACTACCGAATTATGCGAACACGTTCGAGTATTACCGTGAAAGTATCGGCGATTAACCAATTGAAATTAACTTTTGTGTAAAGTGAATGATTCGGTCGTAATTCGTCGGTTCCGAATAGAAAATATATATTTTTCTATCAAAACTTATAAACATGCCAGCGCGAAGGGAACTAGGCAGAAATGTAGTTAAATTGGAATTAAACTGTGCTTTCGGGCGTGTCTTATTAAGAGAAACTTCTAGCAATTCGGATAAAGAAGATTGGTTTTCTCCTTTTTCTTTTTGCATTTTCTTGGAGGTTATACGTTAGAAAGAACGTGCGCAAAGCTATTTGGCGAAAAACGTAAAATTAGCGAAATTATAGACGTCCAAGCGGGGACTCGTCGAGTGTGAAACTGTAAATCCAAGAAGATCACGGCGACTTAACTGTTTCGAGTACTCGTGGCCATTGCGTTTAAACTTCATTTTTCTTTTCACTTATACTACGACTGCTTAGTTGATAATTTACAAAATAAAAGGAGTACGAATTAAGACTGATCAAGTACGAGTAAATACGCATATAAATTCGTGCCACGTAGAACTGACTGACACATCTCAAATTCTAATTTACCGATTGAATTCAAACTTTAAACAACTATATCCTCGACGGATATTTCTTATCTTCATAGATAAAGAGAACGGAGTAGAAAAAGAAATTGTTTCTTTAAATTTAAACGCTTTTTAATACGTTTGTTTCAGATAAATAGAATAACCGCAATCATGTCACATATCCAAACTCATAGGATCACAATATAATTCCCAGAATTTTCATTATTTTTATAATAAAAATAAAATAATTGAGAAAATATAAATTGGGATGAAAGTTCTATTTTTCACCAGATTACTAGAAGACCAAATTACTAGAAGCTACTTAATAAGTGAACAAGAATAGAACACTGGATATAATTGAATGTATCCCACGAAGATTCGTTGATCACAAAATGTGCTTCCACGTTAACGCAACTGCAATTCAGAAATAAAATCGATAAAACGAGCCGTCCTCAGCCGAAGTGGCACGATAATCGCGAAATGCGAGAGTAGGACAGGAAAATCATACGTCACAAAGGAAACGAAATCCGCAAACGAACTCTTAATTGCTCACAGAGACGCATTTCGAGACTCACTCTTTGACGTCCTCTACTGCGAGTGAAAAAAGACGGGCCTGGGGCGGCGGGCTTGTGGCAGCATCACTAGAAAACTCACTGTTCCTGCTTAGGATCTTTCGCCTAAGGACGTGATTCTCAAGAGCGAGCCTCTCGACGACGTCAACGTAGCTCTCGCCAGAAAAATCACCGACGCTCTCCTTAAGACGGCGTAGCTCTTCCCGTGAGGAATCCAGCGCGGAGCGCAGTGATATCACAGTCTGAAAGAACCATTTTGAAAAATCACTACCATTATATGTTAATGTGTATCTTACTTACGAAAATATTCGCCATGTAAATAGAATATCCAATACTTTCTTTCAAAATCTCCTATGTGACATTCGCGATAAAATACAAGCGATGGAGATGAAGCTTGAAACGGTGCCAAATTAGGAGTATCGATGGGCGATAAAACGACCACACACCTTGTAATTTTCAATGTCTCTTCGGTCTAATGCGATGTACGCGAATGTTACAATCACTTGGTTAATAATACAGAAAAATATCAACCGTAGTTCATGCTTTTTTCCATAAATTTCACTTGTTCGTGTAAGAAATGGCTGCGACAAAGCGACGATGGATCAACGAAATTCTACTTTTCGATCTTTCCTCATTACAATATCATTTTCTTAAGAGACACTCTAAGTCTGTTATTACGACATGTGATAATGTTCCACAAGTTTCGGACAGAATGGTATTAGAATTTAATTAAGACGATTGGCGAATGTCTAAAGAGTACTGCGCCCACACCGTACATATTAACACTAAACCTGCCATAGCCTAAATAACCGTTTTCAAATATGCGATTTAAAAATTCTGCATTTGACGTTATCGCTTTGATCATACTTGACTTCTTGATTTTTCCTTTAACACAAATATCGTCAATTTTCCAATAGCTTCGTTTATTTCATTTCCTTTGAAGTTTTCCTTCTTCCAATTTCCCATCTATCGGTTACTTAGTTGGTCGTGGTAAGTTTAGTGTTAATGATCAGATTTTGACGCTTTCTTGAAAATTACTCGTATCATATGCCATTGTTTCGTATTACTCAAAATTGCGAGATAATTCTCCAATTGGTCCTTCTTTTTCTTAATTTCTCGTACAATTACACAAATAAATCATACAGGCATTATGGCAGTCCTCGCGCATGAAAGAAGAATTCACATTGTAAGTCTGTGAATCGGCAGTGTATTCTACGATTGAAAAGTTAATAACATTATTTCAGAACGAATCGTGTACTTTCTAAAAGATGAATGGAGTTTTGGGTGACGAAAAAAGCAGCTCTATATACTCGTTGAAATGAACATCTTGATGATGGTTCGAGTGTGAGTTACGATGCGTTGAAAAATGAAATAATTGTAATAGATTATTTTAAAAGTAGCTGAATAGCATGATAATTTGTCTGGTTGATTCTAGAACATAATTCTGTATCCTCTGGCTGCCGACAGAAGCAGGAAGTGCGGTTTGATTTTCCGCTGTAACCTAGATTTATGAAACGATTGACATGCTCATACGACGCTAAATACAAGATTCTACGATACTTTATATATCGTATTCAACTTCGCATAGTTTGTTATCGCACAGTTAAAATTTTGGTATTACATATTTAATAAAATAGTAGTAATGTTTAACAACAGTACTACTGAAAAAGCTGCTAATAAACATGCTGAAAACAAGTCACATACTATGTTATTTTTTATTTTGTTCAATTTTTCAAATATTGAACAAATGTTCAAATATTAGAAGCGATGCGAAAGTTTTGAACAATAATGTGGGTGGGAAAAAGTAATATTTTCTGAATAACATGATTATAAAATATATGGATATAAAAATAGTGTGTTTTTAAAGGAAGAATTTGTCATAAAATATATACGTTTCAGTCAAAACGTGTGTTTTTTTCTTTTTTTTTGCAAATTTTGCACGCAATTTTGCGTGCATAATATCGTAATAACGTGAATCTTACAGAGATATAAACTTCATTACAATTTTATTATTATGCGGTAACTGTAATATTCTAAACAATGATTTTTTTAATAACAAATAACATATACTGCTTAATCCAGTTAACCTTGAACCTACGCATACAGAAAAAAACATCGTATGCTAACCAAGGTCAAGGGATCATGAAGGTAAAAAGATCGAAGAACGAGTAGCATTGGTGTATATGAAATCGATGGTTCAGGTAAGGTGTATAAAGTTACCTGCTTTCTTTTAACAAGCATTGTCATCTAACCAATTAGCACGCGCACGCGCGCGCGTGCACGCACACGGCAATTAAGTAAAGCAATACTGACATACATATACTACAGAAGCAATTTAGCTAAAACCGAGGTTAGTTTTTAACGAATACTCATCTTTAACTTGACTGAAAACGACATTTTAATATTGTTAAACATAATTAAACTGGCTATTTTATATATACTTTTAATAAATATACCAGTATTTTATTATACTATATTGGTAATATTTTACAAAGTTTCAAACAAAAGTTCAAAGTTCATAAATAATGTACTACAGCTTTTTGGACGAATATAAGCGTTCAAATGTTAACAAAATCATTCTTTAAATTTAAAATGAAAATGTAATATTCTTGATTTTACATTATTAAATTCGAATCCCCGTAGAAAATTATTTCGTGTCAATATTAAAAAGAATAAGATGAACAAGATGAGTAAAAATTAGATTATCGTGATAAATTATAATAAAATTGGCTTTCGTGCATTAATTGAATTTGTGATTCTAACCTGATGCAAAGCTCTCACGACGTCCAATCCGGGGATTCCCGGGGATGGCAGGGTAAGCTGCAGCCCCTGATGGTGAGACTGCCGACCAGCTTCAGCTTCCATGCCTCCTCCTCCCCGCCCGATATTTCTAACGAGATCTTGCCACCGCCACAGGTCATGCCGAAACCGTCTTTCCCTTTGTTCGTTTCACCACTTCAGCTACAATTTCACCGATTCGGATCGATCGTGTTATTTCCGTTACCACATACAGCTGAAACCACTGATCGATTCTCTCACTGGACCTCGAATCTTTAACGAAATACTGAGCAAATCATTTAAATAACAATCACGAACGATTCGTGAAAACAATAAAAAAAATTTCATTTTCTTTATACACAAGAAGGGCGTGAAACGGAGTGCAAGAAGTACTACGAATACCATTCATAGCAATACTACAAAGAAAACCGAAAATATCAGAGATAGTTAATAGTGTAACGCTAACCACTATACTATTTAACATACAAAATTATAGAGTTAGAATAACACGCGATGTCCTGAAATGTTAAATTTAACAGCGGAGTGGTACAGTATTAGAAATTCGTCGATGAAGTTGCACATGGACAAACAAAATATATGTATACGAAATCCTTTTCATCGTCATTTAAAATATTATCTTTGATATCGTATTTAAGTTTCAAAATGTAGCGAACATTTTACGCGGCACCTTTGGTTACTAAGTAATATAAAACTTGACGGTTTACTATATTATGCTATATAACGAGACTTCATTTTATTCCATAAACAAGATAATCCGTTTGTTTTGTGATTTTGATTGAGTATAATATTTACGTCTGATTGTTAATAAATAGTGTCTTTAATGTACTATGTAAGATAAATTATTTAAAAAAATATAAAATTGGAACGTGAATGCTTGAAAGAAGAAATTATTGAAGCGATACTTAAAATGTAAAGAAATTCTGATAATATTAGTTTCATTAGACAATGTTAGTTACTTTTCAACTGAAATTAGTTTGAAACTTACTTTTTATGTAATTGTTCTAAGATATATTAAGATCATTACAAAAATTGAACATCAATCAAAGAAATTTTCTTTTCAAGTGACACGCTAGTAACTGCGTATAATACCATACGGATTGATTCACTTTTACGTACGCACTTTATCGTTCACTACCGAGAATTATTGAGAACAACGTTTACGACGGTGCTTGAATGGAGTTTTCCAATAAGCAGTCATTGTTAAAAAGCTACTAAACGCTACTAATCAATATGAAACAACTGTAATGTTTGTAAGTACCACTTCAAGCATAATCGCTAAGCGATTAAAATCTATTAACCCTATGTAATTGTACTTCTTCAAACACCGATTATCATTTAATTCTGAGTTCTCTTCTTATGTATACACAGTTCACCGAGATCATTTGATTAGAGTTTCTATATAAAAAAAAAAATTCACTTATATTTCAATTTTAATTATATACGAAATTACATTTTCGTAAGAACGACGCGGTAGCGTAATTTTCATACAAATGTCAACAATATAGCTGGAGCTGTCACTTGCCCTTTAATGCAGACGACGAGATAGAAATACATACTCAATTATCAGGCTTGCCAACATTGTGTAACGCTATTCACGCGACAAGGAGCATTTTCACTAGAAGATAAATGGCACATATCGCAAAACTAAAAATTCCTTTTTATCGCTGTACATATTGGCGCGGATCAATCATAATTTAAGCTTATATTATTATTTTATTATCACATTAAATATTTTTCTGCTTATTATAATAAAACAGTAAAATTTTAGTTCTCAAGGAAAATGAAAATTAATTTATATTAAAAATTATTCGTACGTCGAAATTATTGTTTTATTTTTTCAAATTACTGCAACGCTTAACTAATATAAATTTAATCATCTTACAATAAATTAATTTTACTTTTCTTTTATTGAATCCACCTTATAAGATTATTTGAAAATCAAATAGAACTGAAGATAACGAGTATTATATACAGCAATCCATCCGCGCAAAGTTCGGTATTATACACGATTATACTATTATTGGTGACGTTGACATCATATAGTGAATAGTAACAACTAAAAAAAATAAAGAAAAAACAACAGAGATCTTCTAAAAACGAAAAAACGGCGTAATGTGTTGTACGAAAAGTATATTTTAATTGACAAAACGAATTCACTTCGTAAGAATGGAACATAAGACAAATATAAAAAGAGTTTTATTTGTAATTTTTCTACATTTATCGGTACTAAATTGTACTCATTTGACGAAAACTTATTTTAAATATGTGTCTAGAAATAATGGTGATGATATACCAAATATCGGTTGGTTATTTAGCAATTCAATTAACAGTTCCCTTAGGGTTAAGAGAGACACAATCGAGTTACCCGAAGATAGTTTATTAAAATTTATGAATATTAAATGTCAACAAAATTTGAAACGCTTATGTGGTGATATAACCAAAGATAACGACGAATTAATGTTGTTAGAATGCATTCAAAATTTTAAGGTATAATTTTGAATTACTCGTAATTAATAAAATAGTTATTTTATAATTCAAATTTCTTGAAAAAACGAACAAAACAAAATTACCAATTTTACCTATTTTTTTCTTCTTTTTTTATCTTACAGCCAACTGAAGTATCTGGTATTGATGATGAATGTCGACAAGCAATCTGGAACTATATTTTAAACATTACGGACAATTCCAATATAGAGCGTTTAGCTAGAAGAACTTGTGGCAAAGAGTTAAATTCATTAGATTGCTCTCCTTTTAGTAATAAACAAGGAGCATATCTCTCATGTTTAATTGATCAAAGGGAAAAAGTAAAAAATGCACATTGTATTGCATATATTCATAGATTAGAGTGGATTGCATTTAGTGATTTTAGAATTATAACGCCATTTTCTTCTGATTGTGAAAATGATATTAAGAAGTTCAAATGTGACAAAGTACAACCATACAGAGACATATCCCAAGGGCAAATATTGGCATGTTTACAAGAACATATTAATGAACTTCAGCTTCAGTGTAAAAGACATATACTTCATGTGTCTGAAATACAAGCAGAAAATATTAACTTAGATCGACAATTATATTTAGCTTGTGAAGAAGACCGTACCAGATTATGCCCAAATATTAGACCAGGCAGTGGACAAGTATATAAATGTTTAATGCAGCACAAAACAGATAGATCTATGACAGCAGTATGTCAAGAACAGCTTACAAGAAGAGGAAAATTAATTGCATCAGATTATAGAGTTAGTAAAGGACTGGTTAAAGCTTGTAAGGATGATATTAAAATAAATCATTGTAGAAGATCTGTAACTGAAGACAAAAATATAAGACTTGCACAAATTCTTCTTTGTTTGGAGTCAGTAGCAAAAAATGGTAGTAAAATTGATGGAGATTGTCAAGCAGAAATGTTTGATCATAGAAAACTTTTAATGGAAGATTATAGATTATCCCCTGAAATAGTTGATGGGTGTGCTAATGATATTACAACATTTTGTAATAGCTTGGAAGTTGGTGGTGCAACAATTCATTGCTTAATGGAACATACTAGAACAAGAAAAAAAAAATCAAGAGTATCCAGCAAATGTCAGAGAGCGGTAATTAAATATTTACATACATCACATTTTTATCAATAAAAATTTTACAATTATAAATATTAATTGAATATTTTTTGTCATAATAATAGTTAGAAGAATTAATTATGGAAGCTGATGCTGGAGAAGATTGGAGAATTGATCCTGTTTTACGAGAACAATGTCAACCTGTTGTTAATTTAGCTTGCAGAGAGGTATAAAATATTTTATTAAATAAGAAAAGAATTCAAACATTCTAATTGGTGTCTAATTAAATACTGTAATTCAATTTAAATGTAGGTACATGGAGGTGATGCTAGAGTAATATCTTGCTTAATGGAACAGCTTGGTACAGGCAGAATGACAGAAGCTTGTGAAACTGCTTTAGTTCAGATACAATATTTTGTAGCTAGAGACTTCAAACTAGATCCACAGTTATACAGAGCATGTAAATTTGATGCAACACGACTATGTCATGCAAGAAATGCGTGGGCTAATGATGGAAAGCAAATGGATCCAGAACGTGGACCTCTTGTTTTACCATGTTTATATAGACATGTTTATCATCCTCAGAAAAATATGACAGTAAGAATCTATATAATAAAAGTAGTAATAAAATGTAATAATTTAACAAACTTACTTGAAAATCAAAACTTCAACTGACTTATTTTAGTTAAAAACAGAATGCCTTGAAGAAATTAGACGTGTTATGAGACAAAGGGCAGTAAACGTTGATTTACAACCTGAAATTGAAGAAGTCTGTTTGAATGAGTTAGCATCATTTTGTTATGAGAAAACAGCAAAAGGAGAAGAAATATTGTGTCTGCAAGATAATTTAGATCGGTAATAATAAATGCATTTAGTTAGATAAAAAATTTGGAATTTGTTTTATATGCTTTTAATACATTTACTTTAATACAGTTTAAACAGGAATTGTAAATTAGCAGTTGGCAATTTTACGGAAGAGCAAGCAGAACGTGTCGAATTGAATCCAATAATTTCTGCTGTATGTCAACATATCATGGAACGTCATTGTGAGGTGCAATATAACTTTTTAAAAAATTTACATTACATATTAACGAGTTATATATTAGTATAATTTTTATTTATAAAATTTATTAAAATTAAAAAAACAGGAAGTGTTAAAATACGGTAAAGATGAAGGTGATATGATGGAATGTCTTATAGAACATAAAAATGATTTAGATGTGCGATCTGATTATAAATGTAAAGCAGCAGTGGAACACTTTCAATTGATATCATTAAAAAATTATCACTTTACATATAAATTTAAAGAAGCTTGTAGACCTTCTGTTAAAAGATGGTGTCCAAAGTAAGTGCAATTTTTATATGCCATTTATACAATTTTTTTAACACTTTATACAAAATTTTATCAGCTAGACCTTGTATTTTTGCATATAATATTTAGGTCGAAAACTAAGGCAGAAGTGATAGAATGTTTAAGTACAAGAGTGCAAGAAGATATAATGAAAGATACACAGCATCATATACCAAAAGAATGTAGACAACAATTAAAAGCACAGCTTTACCAACAAAGGGAGAATATTCAGTTTGATCCTATCTTACAGGCACAATGTACAAGTGACATTAAACAATATTGTTATAATGTTGAACCAGGAAATTCACAGGTTGTGACATATATATGTTTACTTGACTGAATTATTGCATTGATACATCTAATTTTTATATCAATGTTAATAATAGTATAATTATTTTAGACTCTTGAATGTTTAGCAACACATAAGTCAAAATTATCTGATGCATGTCATAAACAATTATTTAAAGTCAGAAAACAAGAATTTCAAGATAGTTCAAGTGATTTTGCTTTATTAAATAGTTGTCGAGTAATGATAAGGCAATTCTGTCATGATATCAGTCGTTCACAAGCATTAGATTGTTTAAAAAAATATAAAGATGAACCAACATTTGATGATAAATGTAAAAATATCGTTATTCGAAGAATGATTGAACAAAACACAGATTACAGATTTAATACTGCATTACAAACAGCATGTTTTTATGATATCAATAAACATTGTAAAGAGGTATGTTCAAACATATTTTGTTTATAATATTTTTTTGCTATTTTATCATAGTAATGTATCTTTCTTAGGTTTTATTTAATGAACCTACTGATAAAGAACTTGAAGGAAAAGTTATAAGATGTTTAAAAATTAAATTCAGAGAGTCTAAACTTTCAATAAAATGTGAACATCAAATGACTAACATACTTAGAGAAGCAGCATTAAATTATCATTTAAATCCATTATTAGCTACAATGTGTGCTCATGAGGTATTATCATTAAAATATTTTCAAATAAACAATGTCTGAAATGAATAAAACAACTAATGTAACAATTATTTATTTGCAATAGATTGAAACAATATGTAAAACAGATGAAAATGATCCTGGTGCTGTACAAGAATGTTTGAAAATAAAATTTAATACTGGTAATAGCGATATGAAAGAGGAATGTCGCCTTGAAATTGCCGACTTAATACAAGAAACAAGAGCAGATATTAATGTAGATCCTTTACTACAAAAAGCATGTGCTGTTGATGTTAGTAAATATTGTAGTGATGTTCCTCAAGGTGCAGGCAGGCGTACGTTAACAAATAAACATATATTTAATTTATATATTATATATATTGAATGTGTAGATTTATCAAAGTATTATTTCTTATCTTTTCATTTAGATATCATGTGTTTACAAAATGTACTGGAAGACAGTAACAAGTCTTTACAACTTGATTGCTATAAAATGTTGACTACAAGGATTGAAATGTTTAGAAATGCAGCAGAGGTAATAAATTGTATATTTCTTATAATAATACAGAAAAATATTTACATGTAACTAATGATGTATAACAATTTCAATGTATGTATATATATATATTTTTTATTTATTTTTAGTTAACTGGACCAAATTCAATACAAGAATTATATTCAACGGTAAATCGATCGCCTGCGAGACGACACTTTGTGATTGTTGCATTATCGATGATTGGCATCATTTTCATCACCGGTTTATTCTGTGGAAGAGTGACGAGACGAACAATGATAATGAAAAATAAGTGATAAGTTATAGTGAAAGAAGTCCGTCCCAGAAGATTTTCTATTGTTAAATGTAATGAAAAAAAAGAACAAAATTAATTCCATCGAAAATAAAAAAAAATCAAGAAAGTGATTACACTGGTTGGTGACCTTTATACAAAATATCAAACTGTGCAAAATAATACAAAAAAAGTAGTACCTTTTTTATATTTTTGTTTTAATATAAATTTTTAGAAGGGTAATATTCGCAGGTTATGTCCATACTTCTATAATTTGTCATTCAATAGTATTATCATAAATACAAAATGCTGTAAAGATTTGAATGAATGGAATGTATGATAATCCGGAAGTGATTTGCAATTAAGGTAGATTTTAATAAAAGAATATATTAATAGAGAATTGTATATGTATATGTGTGTATATATACATACATCCTTACATACACACCCACACACATTCGTGCATACATCATACATACATACACACACGTGCGTGCTTGCATATATATAAAATAAAAATTGAAATAAGGAATGAAATTTTGTCAATATTCTATACATTTGTGATATATAACAAAAATTAAAAACAAAAATAAAATGGTCACATTTTATTTAAGATAAAATATTATCTGAGCACAATTACCTTGATCTTCCATTTTAGAATATTAGAATGCATATATATTAAAAGTTATTAGGAATGATATATAATTAATAAACTTGGATAATTATATAATATGCACATAATATAAAACGTATAAGAATATTACATATTTCTTTAATAAAATTTATGCTCAATTTATAGTAATTAAAGTTATTTAAATTTTGTCATTCTGTATATTAATGTTGTATTATAAATTAAAGTATATAACCGAATATTATGTTACACAAAATATATTATAGGCAAAACTTCAAGGTAAAGATACTCTATTGTAGTTATATCGTTGTTAATTATGATATATAAATTTCTTTTGCACTCACATTTATAATGTAAAGAAATATGACTCAAGTATTCCAGACATAATTAAATCAAGAATCTCACAAATGGCAAAAATTTTATTGAATAAAATTAAATTCCTAATAAGTTAAAGTTTTAATGAAACTACATTTACTTATCTGATATGAATTGTTATTAACAAAGTCAATTTATAGAACAAAAGGAATAAATCAAAAATCATATATATATCTTATTTTACCTTTAAGATTTTCATTTTTGAATTTAAACACTGCGCAACGGTCACACATATAGTTTGACTAAAACCCGCAAGGAGACGCAACAATCGCGTGTAGTGCAAGAGCTAACAAAACACTGTACTCCAAAGCTTCTCTAGTGCAGGTCTGTAATATTGTTTGCATTGAACGGACAAAATTGAAGCTACAGTGAGTGTTATGAAAAATGTTCATTATTCAATGTTGCGGGTGTTAAGTATGTAATATAATTATTACGAAACATTTGCAGAGCAGTGTTACTAAATCAGTAATTTCAATAGTAGTAAATACATGAAATAATTACTTCAAATAATAAATTTATTGCTAAAAGATTGATGAGTGAAGTGCATCGAAGGATATCATTATCAATCACAAAAACGGATATAAGAAATACAACGTATATGACAAATATCGAATCGCAATGAACTGCGCAACAACATAGGTGTGGCGCGTAAAAGAGAGAGCGTACATGCACGTACACATAGCATACGCGCAATACATACTCTCTTGGAATGAAGGCAGCAAAGAATTGGATTAACTTTCCCCAGTTACGGTTACGTTTAAAAAATCTGTCGACTATTTTAATACAGCATCAAATATAAGTTGATTCTATTAGATTAATTATGTACACTGCAAGCAAATTATTGATTTCTAAGATTAAGATAAATCCTGTCCTGATCTCGAAGTAAATATCTGTAGTGTTGAAAACACCGTGTGGGTGCGTGTGCGTGAGCGTACTCGTGCCCGTGTCTGCGCCTATGCGTCTCCGTTCGCCAAGTTGTGGTGATCTTCGTAGAGGTGGCGGTGGCGGTGGTGGAGACAGTGAAGGTGGCGGCGGCGAAGGCGGCGGTGGTGGCAGTAGTAGTGGTGGCGACGGCGGTGAAGGAGACGGTGGAGGTGGTGACGGTGGTGGCGGTGGTGACGGTGGTGGTCGCGACAACGTTTGGAGGGAGAGATTTTGTACATCGTGACTGAGTGAGTGAGTAGCGCGTGTGCGTGCTACCGCGCGTATACGCTCTCTCATTCTCAAGATTGTGCGCGCGTGTGTTGTGTGTGTGTATGAATATCCTCGCGCGCGCGCATTAACGGAATTCACGATCAGACACGCAGGGACTCTCAACAAATGTTTAAATGGACGCATCGTCCATTATCACCCAAGTGTCGCGGGATGACGAGCTAGGCCAGTTTAATAATGGGAAAGGTAGGTGTCTTCTGTGAATACGGCTTGCCGCCTTACATTTTTTTTTACGTTTTTCTTCCAGATGCTGGATGGAATCTGCACCTGTTACGGGACTGCACCGCACTCCTCACCTTACTTCACCTAACTTCACCTCTTACCCCTCCCCACTGCTATTCGCCTTTGCTTCACTTCCGACGTCCCTTTTCCTCTCGCCCTCATTTTTGCCTGGCCTCGCCTCGTTTTACCTCGTCTCTCCTCTTCAAATCGTGTCCGTACTTCTCCCCTCTTTTCTTTCACCTAAGTTTCGCGTGTAACTTATTTCATCGTGTTGTACCATACCTTGCCGCCGTGTTAATTCATTTACTCCGCTTCGTTTATGTGATGCTCGATATTAGTTGAATGATACAAATGAAACAATTTAAACCAAATGTTTCTTTCCCAATCTTCAAAACTATTAAAATATATTTAAGTAAATATTTTGTTAAAATGGTAATATCTAGTAATTTTTTTTTGTATATTTAATAAAAAATGTTTCACAAACAATCTTAGTCGATCAACATCAATTATAAACAAATTGTATATTTATTTTTCTCGTATTTTTGCATAAATTTCTGTTTACATATATTTTTATTTTGATATACTCATATAATTGGAGCATTTTGATATACATTTTAACAATTTCAATCATTTTTATTTATTGATGCCTTTTCTTAATATATATATATATATATAT